GCTTTTAGTCTTTAGTTTCAGTTTTGCTAGATCTAGTTGGGGCATGTCCCAACATTTCTAGTCAGTTTAGAGTCTTATTTCAGACATAGTTAGATTCAGCTTAGTGTTGAGTTAATATCTTCTTTGTATTAAACTCATCAGATTTCATATATCTCAGATATAGTATATGGGTATTCCCCATCATTTCAGACTTACTTTATGATTTAGCTTCCGCATCAGTTATTATTATCTTTAGTATGCTCATGATCATGCCAGCAAGGTTAGCTTGGGATCACTTGTGGTCCTAGGTCCCGTGTCCGCGTCTTAGGGGTAGCTTGGGGCGTGACACCTCTAAATTGCTCAAACTTTCGAAACTACAGAGTGACACAATTTCTTGAGGCACACCCAGCTCTTCCTCCTCCTTAGATAAGGGTTTGTCCATGAAATCAGCCAACTTCTTCACATAACCCAATGTGTCCTCCTTCAAATCTTCGTACTTGAAGAAGAACACTCTCTCGGGTCTCTCAACACTTGCTTTCCAGTATCCTAATACGTGATCCCAGTAAGGTCCATATCCGGATTTTCCTTGGCAAAACCACTTAAATGCTTGATCGAGTGTAACTAGGGATACTTTAGTACTTAATTTAGCTTTGATCTTTTGTGTGAAATGCCACCAAGAAACAAATGTATCTTTTGGTTCTCTACATATGTAAATGATCTTGCAATTATCTGATTCTAATATAGATATTGGTAAGAGTGTGTAAGGAAGATGTGTTGATAATAATGGCAACTCCGCGTCTACAAATTTAGGATTGGAGAGAAAAGCTAATTCCAAGCAGGGTATGCATTCTTGGGGTAACTTATTGAGTAAAGGGCTATTTGTAAAATCGTCATGTCTAGTCGTAATGGAAAAGGTTAAGGCATTACGCCAAGTGGCTGTTTTTGGAGCACTGCAAAGGAAATTATCAGAGGGTTGAGCTTTGAAGTTTTGTTGCATACATAGAGCTGATTCTAAGAAGGATGAATTGTACCAAAAGCCTTCATATTGACAGCTATCAAAAAAAGGATACTCAGACTCTCGTTTGGGAAGTGTTGATATCATCTCTTTGTATTGTTTGCGCATTTCCTTGAAAGTTTCTAATCCATAATTCTCAGATAAGCGGCTAGTTTTGGAAGGGAAATTAGAGGAACTCATTTTTTGGAGAGTGTGAAAATGATGAAAAAAATAGGAACCAACTTGTCTATTGATATAGAGAGGAGAATTTTGGTAGTATATTGCAAGTGGTCCATCTAATGCTTAGATAATTATTCCATTAGGGACCATGTCATTAAAACTAAAGACTAAGTTAGATAATTATAAACATTGCAACTATATATCATGGAAATGACAATCATATTAAAGTTTCCTTTTGACTTAGTTAATGTTCAAGATTTGGTTAGATATTGTTACTGTTATGCATTTGATCTTTGAGTAATAGAACATGCAATTATAGGGGATCGTCTGCAATATATTTTAAGAGGTCGTTAAATGTCAAGTATCCAATGTTTCGAAGTCACGTTTGTGCAACATGCTTTTATAGGCCTTGCAATTTTCTGATGTTAGGTAGCTGCTATAATCCCTCAAAATTCAAGTATCCAATGATTCTAAGCCATGTTTCTGCAAAATCTTTTATATAGTATCATCTACTTTATAGCCATGTTTGAATTTTAAAATTTTTATTAGGTTGTTTTGTTAATGAGATTATTTAGCCTTTTTGAATTTTTGTTATGCAGATTTTCTGCAGATTATGTTATCAAGTTGGCTATCTAAAGCCCTTTTATGCTTAATAAAATCAATGAGAGCCTTCTTTTGCTGCACCATCTTTTTTAAAAACCAACAATATATCAGAGGAAATATGCTTGCGCTGAGCACGGGCCCAAAGAGCTTGTTATTGTTTTAACTTAACACGAAGAATGCTTCTTTACAGTTATAGAAAAAAGACTTTTATAAGAAAAAAAATACTTACTATCTTTGGGATCTGATCCTACACCGCTGTTCAAGACTTTAGTGGATCGACTCTATTACATAAGTTAATTCCTAATTTTAATCTCACATCATGAGATAAGTATGCAGTTATTATTGTATCGGCCCAAAACCTTGCTAATTGATCTTTATGTGCTTCCTCTATATCTCTCAATTAAAGCTTTATATCCATAGAAAAAAGTTGCTAGGCATTTTTATTTCCGTGAAACAAAATTCATACAATCTGCAATCCATAAGAATGAGTTGTACTATAATGCAGAATGACTTGTATATGTAATAACTATTTTATACATCAACAAATTGAGCCAACATGTGCATTTTTTTCATGTCAAATGTAAGTTTATTCACATCCACAATTTGACTATTTCCTTGAGCTATGATTGCCTCTCTTATTGAATCTGCTAACTTTATGGGACCTAATGTTTCAGAGCAGGGGGTCTTTATTGAAGGAAACGAACTAATGATACAGATTTAGATGCTAAGTCACTCAGTTTATCATATGCATGTCTTCATTGTTATCCCCTCCTTTGAAGTAGTGTAGAATTTCTGTTAGTTTTACTTCTAAATGAAGCTTTTCAGATGCCTGTTGATTACTCGTAAACAGTAAACAGCAATGAGGTACGTAAATGTTCATGCAACTTCTATCCGTGGTTGCGTATGAAGCTAGAAACCAAGATTGAAATTCTACTACCAGTTTCTCCTGAAATCTAGGCACATTTGTTATTCCACTGAACATCTCAAACAGGCATGGCAAGAAGGTAAAACAATGTAAATGTGAATGTGTAACAATGCTACGTCCCATAGACAGCAAACTTTATTTCCATGTTATTTGGTACTTGATAGGCTTATTTTGTATATTGATGTCATAAACAACATTCTGGCAGAATTGGAGTAATACTAATATACAATATAAATATTATTGTAAAGTCTTTCTAATTTCACTATCTGTGAAAGACGCGAACATGCAATCCCCCATCAATATGAAGATTTATCATTGTTCTGTAGTTGACAGTCTTCTTGTCATCACTCAACCTGAAAACGAAGTAACGTAACAACAAAGCAGATGATATCTTCATTTGCCTATAGGCAAATTCCTTCCCCAAGCAGATCCTTGGCCCTGCCTGTCAACAAAAGAATGGGCTTAGCTAGTTATAATAAGAAAATATATAGGCACTAGACAAATTAAGTATAGCCTCACGTTCAAGGCTCTAACAAATGATAATTAAAGCTAATAATGTGCTTTGACCAACCTGGAAAGCTGTAAATTTGAAGGGGTTCTCAGGCCTGAAGAAACCATCCCCATCAAGCCATCTCTCTGGTTTATATTCTTCTGCATCATCACCCCATATAAATTTCATTCTTCCCATTGCATATGATTGGTAAGCCACTATGTCCCCTTTGTTCACATTGAATCCATCTGGTAAGGTGTCATCCGAAAAACATATTTTTCCATTCTGCAGTAAGAAGAAAAACAAAAACAACAACTTTATAACATGCATCTAATTGGCCGGTGATGTATGATAAAAGAAGTTCTTTATTACCACTGGAACTGCAGGATAGAGCCTAAGAGTCTCGGTCAATGCTGCATGAAGATATTGCATCTTTTCAAGGGCATCTTCACTCACATTGGCAGCAAAATCCATTATGTCTGTTGCAGCTTGTTTCTCATTTGTTGCTTCTTTAATATCCTGTGCTACTTTCTCCTGTACATGAGGATATTTGCATAGCACATATATGAACCAAGAAAGGGTGGTTGCTGTTGTATCTTTGCCTGCTATTATGAAGTTCAATATTATATCACGCAAATACTTTGGATCTGTTTCAGCTATTTGAAGAAACCTTGACAAAATGTCTTCTTTCTTCCATTGCAACTGGAAAAAGATTATAATGTCTAATTAGCATCTGTCCGCATTAATAAAAGTAGTAGATATAAGACCATTAACCTACAGATAAATCAGCTTCTGGTTTGCTCATCTGTTCAGTTTTTCTGTGGATCAGCTTATAAACAAACTCATCAATAGTTCTTATATTGTCTCTTAACTTGGCTTCTGATCCGATATTGAGAAATCTTTTAATCTTCCATAAGATATCAACAAATCTCCAAAGTGTCAATTCACTTGCATCGTCAAATGCATTGATAAATTTTTTGCCTTCATCATTTGAACCACACATGCTGTCTAGCTCAACTCCGAAGGCAATTCTGAATATAGAATCTAGAGTTGCTTTCATGAACAGATCCTACATCGATAAAACTAGGATTATTCGTCTGGTAAGAATAAATAAGGCACCATTCTGTGAAGTCGATTTGTGGACTTACTTGAATGTCTATTATCTTGCTGGATTTGACAGCTTCAGACAATATATGGGCTAACTTTGCTGCATCTTTTCTGAATACCACACTGCTAAAATCCCTCAAGATCCTTGCGGAGAACTCGTGGCTCAAAAACTTCCTCTGCTCCCGCCACTTATCACCATCAACTGTGAAAATCCCATCCCCGAACAGGTCCTTTAGGATGTTGTAACTATACCTTCCCTGCAGATTATTCGAAAAACTCAAGATTGACAATTCGTTATACCATGTTGTCATATCTATTGGGAGATCCATATAGCCAGCTGCAACTTATGTGGGAGTATTATTTTTACATGTTTTCCTAATTTAAAATTTTCTAGTTTGATTTTACTATTTATTATTTTCATAGAAAGCAGGATTCAAAATCAAATGTCATGCTATTTGGGATAGGTTTCCTTATATATAGTTGTGGATTTTGTTATTTTTCATTAGACACGATTATTATGAAAATATTATTTGAGAAGTTTCTCTGGTTTACATCTTTTCAGAATCAATCAAATTCTAACATTAAAAAAAGATTATCTGGGATGTCAAGAAAATGGTGTACCTTGCCATAATTTTCAAAGTTTGTTTTGAGAATGTATTCAACGTTAGCAGGGTCAGAAGTAAAAATATCATTCCTGAAAGGGCTAACCAATCTGTAAGTCTTGTACTTGCCAGCAAGATCAGTCATGTAATGGTGCAACCTGTGGAAGTTGATGAGATGATTAAAAATGGTGCCGCCAACTGGATGGTATCTCTTTTTTCCATTTAATTTGTTGGTCAGAAGAAGAAGTATGAACACACAAAAGACAAGTGAAAGAATTATGGCTGTTATGGAGATGGAGTTCTGAAGAATATCCATGGAAATAACTAAGGCACTAACGTATCCTTGTGCATGTTTGGCTTATAATGTATTATTTAATGTGTTACGGGAGTAGATGCTGGTCCATCTAATGCTTAGATAATTTATGGCTCCATTAGGGACCATCTCATAAAAACCAAAGACTAAGATTATCAACTTTGAAATACAATCATATTATTAAAGTTTCCTTTTTGACTTAATTCATCTTCAAGATTTGGTCCACAGTAACATAGGCTTGGTTTTCTTCGAAAATGTTAGGGTTAGGCATTTGATTTTTGAGAGAATACAAAAAAATCATTGGTTTATCAAATTATCTGTCGAGCCAGCATAAATTTGAAGTGTTTTATATGGTATCATCTGCTTTCAAATCCTCTCTAAGAATTGTATTGTTCAAAAGCCAGAATAACATGTGATGCTGTTATGTGTATTGCATATGTTAATAAATACAAACGAAAAGAGAATTAAACTCAAATAGAAAATGAAAGCTGGAGGGAGAAAAACCTCTAATGCTTAAGTTTTTTATTTTCGATACAAGAGTCTACATGATTATTGGGGGAAAAGATAAAATGGACACTATTTCAAGCCAACTAATAACAGTAAATGGTGTTGCTTTGATAAAAAAAAAAGAGCATATATATAGGCGTAACTTAACTATAAGGCAACTAAAGCAATGACTTGTGGCACCAATAGAAGATTTAGCATCTTCTCTCCTAAGGTGTGGTCAGGGAAGGGGTAACAAGGAAAATGTGAATGTGTAACAATGATACATCCCATAGATAGAAAACCTTATTTTCATGCCAGGTTAATGTTATTTGATAGGATGTTGATGTCATAAACAACATTCGGCCAGAACTGGACCGATGCTAATATACTTTATTACATATTTATGTAAACTCGTTCTAATTGCCCTATCTACGAAAGACACGAACATGTAATCCCCCATCAATGTGAAGATTAATCATTGTCCTGTAGTTGATAGCCTTCTTGTCATCACTCAACTCGAAAACAAAGTAATGTAACAACACAGCAGAGAATATCTTCATCTGTCTATAAGCAAACTCCTTCCCCAAGCAGATCCTCGGCCCTGCCTGTTTTATCAATAAAAGAATGTGCTTAGCTAGATAGTTAATGTGAATATGTGATAGTATATAGGCACTAGGTTAATTATACAGAATCGCGTCCAAGGCTTCAATAAAACTGATAACAGCTTTGACCAACCTGGAAAGCGGTAAATTTGAAGGGGTTCTCATGCCTGAAGAAACCATCGCGATCAAGCCATCTCTCTGGTTCATATTCTTCTGCATCATCACCCCATATAAATTTCATTCTTCCCATTGCATATGGTAGGTAAGACACCGTGTCCCCTTTGTTCACACTGAATCCATCTGGTAAGGTGTCATCCGAAAAGCATAGTTTTGTATCCTGCACTAAGAGGAAAAACAAAAGTAACAACTTAAAGAATACATCTATTTGGCTGGCTGTATGATAAAAGAAGTTCTTTATTACCGCTGGAACTGCAGGATAGAGCCTAAGAGTCTCTGTCAATGCTGCATGAAGATATTGCATCTTTTCAAGGGCATCTTCACTCACATTAGAAGCAAAATCAGTTACATCTGTTGCATTTTCTTTCTCAGTTACTGATTCTTTAATCTCTTGTGCTATTTTTTCCTGTACATGAGGGTACTTGCAAAGCACATATATGAACCAAGAAAGGGTGGTTGCTGTTGTATCTTTGCCAGCTATTATGAAGTTTAATATTATATCACGCAAATACTTTGGATCTGTATCGGTTATTTGCAGAAACCTTGACAAAATGTCTTCTCTCTTCCACTGCAACTGGTAAAACATTAGTATTATATATAAGCACCTATCTGCAATCTGCATTAGTTAAAGTAGTAGCTATAAGGCGATTCACTTACAGATAAATCAGCTTCCGGTTTACTCATCTCCTCAGTTTTTCTCTGGATCATCTTATGAATAAACACATCGACAGTTCTTATATTTTCCTTTAATTTGGATTCTAATCCGATATTGAGAGATCTTTTAATCTTCCATAAGATATCAACATATCTCCGAACTGTCAATGCACTTGCATCATCAAATGCATCGCTAAATTTTTTGCCTTCTTCATTTGAACCGCACATGCTGTCTAGCTCAACTCCAAAGGCAACTCTGAATATAGAATCTAGAGATGCTTTCATGAATAGATCCTACATCGATAACACTAGGATTACGCATCTGGTTACAAGAATAAACAAGGCACCATTCTGTGAAGTCGACTTGATTCATGGACTTACTTGAATGTCTACTATCTTGTTGGATTTGACAGCTTCAGTCAATATATGGGCAAACTTTGCTGCATTTTTTCTGAATACCACACTGCTAAAATCCCTCAAGACCCTTGTGGAGAAGTCATGGCTTGACAACTTCCTCTGCTCCCGCCACTTATCACCATCAACTGTGAAAATTCCATCCCCTAACAAGTCCTTTAGGATGTAGTAATTATACCCTCCCTGCAGAAAATTTGGAAACTCAAGTTTGGCAATCCGAAAATCGTTACACCATTTTGTTACATCTATTGAGACATCCATATAGCTAGCCGGTTGCAACTTATGTAGGAGTTGAGGCATCATAATTTACTGATATACCTTGACCTTGCAACGAGAGTATTGCCCATATACATATAAGTAGATCACCAGTTCATTCCGTAACCAAAGTGGACTCTAAAAACATTCTAACAACAAATGTAAATATTACTAAATAACAGGCCTTTTTAGAATCAATCAAATAACAACATATAATTTGGGGATGTCAAGATCAAAATGGTGTACCTTGCCATAGTTTTCAAAGTTTGTTTTAAGAATGTATTCGACGTTAGCAGGGTCAGAAGTAAAAATCCTATTCTTGAAAGGGCTAATCAATCTGTAAGTCTTGTACTTGCCAGCAAGATCAGTCATGTAATGGTGCACTCTATGGAAGTTGATAAGCAGATTGAAAACGGTGCCACCAATTGGATGGTATCTCTTTTTTCCATGTAATTTTTTGGTCAGAAAATGACGTATGAACACACAAAATAAGAGAAGTGAGATAATGGTGGCTGTTATGTACATAACTTACTCCCCGTTTCAATTTATTACCGGTAGATACACATAACGTATCAAAATATTTTGTTCAAATTAAATAGTGACAAAAAAAAAAAAAAAAAGACATTCCTTTTAAATTAATTAAAAAGAAGAGTATTTAAAAGCTTATCTGTTTGGGCTACAAACAGGGGCAGACCTAGAGGTAGTTAGGGGTTCACCGAGTTCCTATTTTAAAGAATTTTTATGACTATATATTGATTTTGAACCTCTTGAACATGATATTATAGGTTGGCTCAATTCCCTCCAATAATTGCCAATCGTGAGGTTGATCTTGCTTCTGTATGGAAATAAGTTAACAAAAAGTCAAACTCCTATATAAATCAAATTAATCCCTCAAATAATAATAGCCAAAACGTGAGATTAATCAAAGTCAAACTCCTCGTAAATCAAATTATGTGCTCATTATATCAATGTGGGCTATGGCCACCCTACAATGAGCTACAAATTTTCCACATTCCTAACTTTAGCCATGATTTATGATCTTTTATGTTTATTTTAACTAAATTATATATACTTCGTTAATAATTATAGCCATTCTGTGCATTAATCCCTCAACTTGATAATCATGCTAAATGAGCGTATGAAATGAATGAATACTAGTGTTTTAACTTGTATGTATAAGATTTTATTTATTTATACGTCGAATACAACCTATATTTAGTATCTTTCTTCTTTCTCCCAAATCTCCCTCTACTTTCTCCTCTCTCTAAATATAACATGTGTACATATATCATATCTCCTCTCTATCTTTCAAATCTTGCTAACGTTTCTTCTCGCTCTTTCCTAATCCCGGCGCTTCTCTCCTCTCTTTAATTATAGCTATGAACCGTAATTAGGCAAACTATAATTACTGATGATAATTATAGTTTCTCTATTTAAAACTCAAATTAGTCGTTAGAATTAAAAAAAAGTAAAAAATACTCATGTGTAAGAATGATCAAATGTCCCATGAATTTTGTGATAAGGATCAAATATACCCTTATATGAATTTTATTTTTAAAAAATCAAAATCACATTTCACTTTTGTTAGCGGAAAAAGATATATTTGGACTATTTGTGTAATAGTAGAAATATATGTGAGACTCTTTTTTAATGAGGAATACATCAGCTCTAAATCGCAAAGTTAAAGAGTAGATCAAATCCTTTTCTCAATTAAAATACTAATAGATTTAGGTGATGCAAGATGGTAGTCAATGAATCTCTAATAGATCAATCTTCTGTTCTTGTGAAAGGCGGATTAAAGTGCCACTAAAATGTTGTTCAAAATTTTGATTTCAATTCATTGTTTCTCTAATAACCTAAACTTTGCATAAGATGATCACAAAATTTTAATTTCAATTCATTATGTATAATCGATCTATCTATATTAATACATTTACCAAACATACTGTTATACTCTAATTTACCATGTAGAATGTGTATCTATTTATTCGACTTTATATAATTTAAGTGTATTTGAATACATCCAAAATTGGATGGTATAGATGTTAGTTGAAGCCAAAATTAAATGATATATTTATGTATTATGTCTTTCTTTTTTTTAATTTGATAAGTCTTTAATTCTAACTTTCCACCTGTCATGTTTAAAATCACAAAATTAAAGAGCATTTTGATACATTCTATACATACTCCATCTGTCCCTAATTACTTGTCCATTTTGACAAATCAAGAAAAGACAAAAAGAATTTACCTATTATACTCTCAATTAACTACTTTGAAAAAGGTAAAACTGCTTGAAAATCTTAAGTTTTAATTCATCTACTTCATAATTAATAGGGGTAAAATGATAAATTTACTATATCACTTATTTTTTCTTAATAGGTGTGTCAATTCAAAAGTGGACAAGTAATTAGGGACAGAGAAAATATCTTTT